CGTGTCTATGCGGGTTTTCTGCCTTTCTCCAATCCTTGTGTATCGCAGACAGTCGCTCAACCGATCTCAGGTTGGTCCCCCCCTGAGTGCAATCACAGATCAGTAATTCGAAGACGGCTACGACAGATTCGAAGACACAGGAGGCGAATGTGAATTCAAATCTTTAAACACTATCAAACCTCGCGTCACCCGAACGCCGCGAGGAACCCTTCCGCTGACTTGAACACAGGACAAGACACGGAGTGATCAGATGCTCATAGGGTATTGTCGACGGCGACATGTTTGACCAACCAGGAGGACGGCAGCCCACCCTGTCCATACCATCTTGTGGTGGCGCAACAACTGGGCCACCCTTGGTAATTTCAGTTGCATCCAAGTCACAACCCACTAAAACTCACGGGGCAACCACTAACCGAGGCAACCCGGCGAAGTTCGGATTAATCCTAACCACACTGACGGCATATTCGGATTTGTCACATGCACAGACGGTATTTACGACGCCGAACGTTCCGATAAACGTGAACGACGAAGTCACACGCTGTCAAAAGACCGTTCCGTCTCGGATAAATCCGAACCACACCTCCGACAGGATAGGGTCCACCCTCTGCAGGTCATTAAGGAAAACACGCCGTGCCGATGTCCTCCTCTAGTGGTCGGCCTAATTCGGATGCATCTGAGTCACAACGTCGGTCTTTCGACTCTGGCCAGTTCGGATGTGTCCGAACTACCACGCTGTCTTCGTCGTCGACCATTCGCTCTAAGAAGGGCAGTCTGATGAGGAGGGTCAACGATGCGTCGGATTCATGCAACTAAAACGAGTCGAGATGGTTACGCTCGGTGGAAGAAAGACGAGCTAGAAACTTGTGTTACGACTACAGCAAACATGTCTGTTGTTTGGATTGGGCAAGCAACAACCAACTAAAACTCACGACGACGACGATATCCCCTGTGATGACACACAGATTATAATGACACACAACGACAATCGCGGGGAGGTCCGGTGTGTGGTGGGGCTACAACAAAGCGAAGCGCCTCGGCGAAGTCGGATTAATCCGAACCACATGCGCAGAGGGTATTGACGACGTCGCACGGTCTGATAAACTTGTACGTCGAAAGCACACGGTGTCGGCGCAGCCTGTCGTGGTCGCACGTATCGGGACAGCCTCTGTCGAAATCGGATGAATCCGAGCCACACCCGGCTTAAACACTCATGGACGAAGACACACCGTGCGAAATTCGGTTGGACCCGACGACAACTGGGGAATAACGGAAGCTTGGATGGCTGGATGGGCGTCAACAGACCGTGGGGTCCATCCGCCGGTCCCCGTCTCGGATTAATCCGAGCCACATTTGCAAGGTTCAGGTTCAACCGAACCGAACCTCCGGCAGGATAGGGTTAACCCAGTGCTCGCAGGTCGGTGACAAAAACACGTGCTGTAGATGACCTCTTGTGGACGACCGTCTCTGGACCGCGCTGTTCGAATTCGGATGCATCCGAGTCACAACCGTTACCGACTCAGAAGGACAAGAAAACTCGAGTTTGGTTTCGTACGGGCCGACGGGGGGAGGTCCACACCGCTTTGTAGCTCGGATTCATCCGAACTACAACGGCGGACTTTACAATCCACTTGTCGACTTCGGATGACAACGTATTCGTCTTCGTCTGTCG